TAACTGCATCAGTTAGGGTTAAAAAACGTGTATTCAGCTCAAACATAAACATCGCTGCAGTAAGTTATTTTCCAGTGGAAAGTCCTTACCTACTGGCCTAGTTAAATCAAAGTGGTTACTTTTTTTTGGCTGAAGTGAAGTTTTACACACCGTCTTATTTGACTTTCTCAGGACTTAAAACAGAAAAAATATATATTTACACACGTAAGGTCATCATCTTAACAGTTTATTATGCTCATCGAGTCATCCGTGAGCAGAGCATCAAGTTGGCATGCCTATAACAGCTGAATGTGGCGATTACCATCTTGCTCAGCAAAACGCCTCACAAACTTATTAAGATTTAAAGCTATGGTGCATTTTGATTCAATGCTGAGTACAGCCTGAAGAACATATCGAGGATTAAAAAACTAATGTCACAACAGGACTTAGAAAAGCTTGTCCATGCTTTTATCTTTAGTAGACTCGACACTGCAATAGTGTATTCACAGGGCTGACAACAAAATCCATCAGAAATCTGCAGCTGATTCAGAACGCTGCTGCACGTGTCCTCACTAACATTAAAAGAGTGGATCACATCAGTCCGGTTCTGAAATCTTTACATTGGCTTCCAGTCGGCCAAATAATTGATTTTAAAGTACTATTGCTAGTTTTTAAATCATTACATGGTTTAGGACCAAAGTATATTGTTGAACTCTTACATAATTACGAGCCATCAAGGTGCCTCAGGTCTTCTGGGACGGGTCTGCTATCGGTTCCCAGAGTAAAAACAAAACATGGAGAGGCAGCATTTAGCTATTATGCCCCGACAATCTGGAACAAACTACCCAAATCATGCACGTCCGCAGAAACGCTTACTATTTTTAAATCGAGACTAAAAACATATCTCTTTGCCGCTGCTTTTAATTTATTGAGCTGCTCATATTCGCACTACAGTATGCCTTTTAAACATGTATTGTATACCTGTGGTGTTTATTTTTTATTATCTTTGCTTTGTAATGCCTGTTGTAAAATACCATTATATATGTGTTTTTACTGTATGTATTCCTAAAAAGTATTTTAATTTGTTTTGTAAAGCACTTTGAATTGTCGCGTACAGAAAAGTGCTATATAAATAAACTTGCCTTGCCTTGCCTTGCCTTGCCTTGCCTTGCCTTGCCTTGTCTTGCCTTACAGCCAAACTTGACAGTCTCTTCTCTGTCATTGTAGACTGCAAACACCTCATTCCTTCCGTCTACTTGGATCCGAAATGCTTCTCGTTTTGCGCTGTCCCCCCGTTCAAAGGAAATCGCCGCCAATCATATTTCCAGGTTCGCGCCAGGGCCGGGGGAGGGGTTACAAGGCACGTCTTGTGCTGCATTCACTTGCACTCGGACATTAGAGTATTTTCTCTCATAAATGTCCGCTGAGCCACTAACTTTTCTTACAAAACAAAGCTGCCAACTAGGGTGACAGCTGGGATGGCAAGGCATTTTTCTGAGGTGGCAGCTGCCACCCCGTGCCACCCTGTAGAACCGCCACTGCTTCCGTTATCCAATGGGAATGGTCGCTCACATTGCCTTTATGCGACCGATGCAGTGCTTCCATGAGCGTCAAATACCGCCGCCGATGGGAATACATTGCAATCAGTTGAAAGCTCTTTGTGTCCGTTTATGAAGCTGAAGGAGACTCGGCGCGTCACAACTGCACGCCACGGGACCCTGACCAAGCGTCACTCCTGGACGTTCAGGGAGTGTGACTGTGTTGAATAAACATATAAGAAACACGTGAGTTGACTGAACTAAATTTCCTTAATAACTCATACTGCCACATTTGCCATGCTGAAGTCGACTGCAGCATTAAAAACAAATGCATTCTGTTTGAAGGAAACAGCTCGGCCAGCATTTTATGAATGTTAACATCGTCTTCTGAGGACTGGAAGCAAAGAGGCAGAAAGTCTAATCTGTTGTGCCATAGTGCTGCTTCAGTGACAATGGGTAACAGATTTGCTGTCAAGTGGCATTCTGTGCAGTTTAAAGCATGCAACAAATAAGTGGTTGAACTAATATCTCAGGGGCCTGCAGGCTTTATCTAATCTGTCATAAAAAACATCTGCACATTTACTGGTTGGAGGCTTTAGAAAAAGGAGAGAGCTAAAACCAGATTGTAACCAATTGAATTTCACTTATACTGTACTGCGTTTACTGTGTGTTTAGAAAAAGATGCGTGGATAAAGAATCTGCCTAGCAACCAGTGTCGGCTGGTGGAAAATATTTTAGGCAGGGCTGTGGAAATGGTGACCAAACAATACTAGGGGGGTCCGGGGGATGCTCCCCCGAATCTTCCAAAACTTCCAAACACCTTGTCTTGGACATAGTATCTACAGTATAAACTGTGCAACAGTACAGTAGGCCGACACAAACTGCAGAAAACCGGGGCTTTGGGAACACTCAAATGATTTAATTCCCATTTAACCTGTTTTGCTTTTTTCCCCCGTTTGTTTTCTCACTAAACTGTGTCTCAGGACTTCTTAAAATGTAATAAACTATTCATGTGTCATACTCATTCAACGGGAAGAAACTCACTGATGATGAAAATATATATTTTTTTAAATATTTTTTTAATTTATTTTATTTTTAATGACAATCTCAAATGTGGGAAGAGGGGGGGGCGGCGCTCCTAGCGCCCCTATGGGCCGGCCGCCACTGCTAGCAACACTGGATTAGTCAGCGAATAAAAAAAGATGATATAACATGCATATGCAATCCTTTCAATTTGCTGTCTTTACTGCTAAAATATGGTTATTCGGGAGTTGGAGGAGACCAATCTAGAGCTAAAAGTAAATACTTATCTTATATTCAATATTCATTCAAATGGACACAAGTCCAAATGAATGTTAACATTGTTCTTTGTCTATTTGCTAATCAGACTTATCCTTTTTTCTATTTGATTCAAAGAAAGTGAAGAACATTTTCTCACCTTCATAAAACCAGGATGTCATCACCAATGAATATCTTAATATGTTTATTTGCTGACGTGATGAAATGCTTCAGAGGTTAAAGGTTTTCAAACAAAGATTATGTACGGTTGCCATGTTTAGGATTTATACAAAACCAATTTTTAAATAGAATAAAAACTAGCAGACTGCAACTTGGTTGTTTTGGCTCTAAACTGCCAACATTTTGTGGAGCCACTGTTGTGGAATGAATTGTCACATGCATAATGTAAGGTTGTTGTTCTCTAATGCAGGAAATGCCTGTGTTTCCTTTTTTAAGAAAAGCTGTCTAGATAGAAGGTGGAAAACAGTTCCAGACAGAAATACTGAACAAATAAATTAAGTCACTGTGAATGGAGACTTAGTGTGCGACCGAGTGTGAACACTCACAGCCTGTTCACACTGTTGTCTCTGCAATATTAAAAACATTATCATTTTAATATTGTGGCTTATCAAATGGCTTAAATATTCAAATCTGATTGGCAATTTGGACGTTCCAGATGTCGGCTATTTTTTGCTGACCACTGCAAGTTGGATGCTCTGTTCAAGGGACTACAATGTGTGCAGTCAATCTTTTTACGTCAGCTTTGAATAACAAAAAAAAAATCCATGTAATAATCTTTTAATATTTACTTTTATATTTTTGGAGAGCACCAAACTTTTGATTCACAATGGCTAAATTGTCCCCAGCAAATAACATTTTAAAAAGAGAAGAAAAAGAAAAGAGTGCAAGAGAAGGAAAGAGGTAAAAGACAGTGATGGACCCAGCGCCGTATAGACTGAGAGTTACGTCATCTCCGTTCACTCCAATGGACCACTTTTTTACAGCAATGGCGGATCGTGGAGCCTCTCAATCGTTCCCCGGAAGTTAGCGCCAAGGCTAGCAGAGCTGTAGAGTTGCAGCCTAATAGACCGTTCGTGACGGACTTTTAAAGGTAAGAAGAAGTTTAAAGATTTATATTGCGGATATTATCAGTACATCTGATTCAAATTAACATGCGTATTAAAGGATGTCAGTGGATTATCCCTAAATTAGTAGATTTAGGGAACGTTTACAGATAACAGATAAAGCTAGAATTCCGGATCAAGTTAGCAACACACGTTGAACAGCTTTTTAATTGTAAATTCCGTTCTCTTAATGTCATTTCGTCCAACGTTGTTGAATTAGAGAAGAGGGGCTTCTAAACAGGATTGTATGCGGGGGCGGAGGGAGTTAAATATTAGATAAATATAACTTTGGTGCGTGTAAGAGTGAGTGTTTTTAGCAGAGCCATATTGTGTCCTTGTGATTATGTTGATTATTACCTGTCTGTATAATGTTGCAGCTCAGCTGATTTTGGATTGATGGCAAAGGGAGAGGGACTTAAGTGAGAGTGAAAACACAAGGTAGCTTTAATACTACTGTTTTATATAAGTAAGCATACTAAACATGTATTCTATCACTGTATTATATAAGTAATCTTGTTAGTAACCTACTGTATGGCAGGTGGAGGGGCAGTGATGTTACAGGTGGAGGAGCAAAACTGCAAGACTGCAAACTCACAAGACAGAGAAATCAAAGTTTGTTCTCCAGAGAAGAGGTTGATTTCACTTCATTTATTTCATATTTTCTAAAGATGTGGAAATGGCAACAAAAAAAAACTTGAGAGCTGNTGGCAGTAAAACAAGAATACAGTTTGAAAGGGGAGTGATTTGTAAAATATCCATAAAGAAAAAGAACATCTGCTTACAGTCGTGTTTCATCTGGGTGTTGAGAGATGTATCCATAGATCTCTTAATGTTGCTCTCAAAGTGCACCAGATTGATGCTTTTAACTTCA